TTCTCTAGAGCATTTTCTCAATCGCTTGAGTTCTTGCTTCCCAGCAATTGTCCTCAGTTTGGCTGAAGTAAACTCACAAAAATTCTCTACAGGTTTTAATGTTTCTGATGTTGACAGCGAAGCCCCTACACTCTCCCGAACCACTAACACCAGCCCCGACCCTGCACTAAGCCTGCGGCATCGCCCTGAGATGCCTCGCAGCTCCCCACGGTGTGTGTTCTCCCTCGTCTCGCCAAGCAGTGAGCCCAACTTGTTCAACCGACGGTATGTTCCTGATAGTCTTTGCCTGGTGGGAAGTGACAGCTGTCAGGGCATCAACTGCCATGATAGGCCACTACGCGCGCAGAGGTCGCAGGAGCCCGGCTGGAAACACAACTCTAGGGCATAAACTCAGCGCTGGTTCTCCAAACACATCAGCTGATTTTCCTGTCACCTGCCTCTTTCTCTTATAAACTGGCTGAAGTGACGAGAAAAAGACTAGCTAATCCGATGCTGTCCTGGACATCTTCCCTTCCCTCCCATTTCCGAAGTCACCATGGCACCAAGTTAGAGTGTGGCCGGACGACTGACTCATGGGCAGAGCCCAAGGCAACGCTACCCAAGTACTTTAAGCCACATGTTCAAGCCCAATAAATTAGCCCAGGCTTAAAGAAGTCAGGCTGTATGCATGTAAGAATTTTAATAAGCTTGGAAAACGCTACCTACAGCTTATGCGTGAACTTACTGTACCAATGGGATTCCCTGCCACCAGCCACAGAGCGCTAAGCCCCTGACAAGAGCTTCTGAGCACATGGGGCAGCAGTGACAGGCCGTCGGCTTGGTCCAGGTTTCCAGGGGAGTTGGAGACTCACAGCCGAAGGCGGGCAGCCAGATGGACGGAGAGCAGAACAAGGCACGCAGCTCAGTGGAGCCAATGGCATTTACTGGGAAAACATGTCGGAGCTTTCTTGGGTGGAAATCTGGTCCTCACACACCCTTCCAGAAATAAGCAAACACTACGATCAGTGTCTGCATTTATCAAATGCCTGTTTGTATGCAGAACTGCGTTAGGTACAATAGAGAGTTATTTAGGCAAACATGGCCTCTGCCTTCTAGATGCTGACACCTAATATAAATAAAACAACAAATCTGTCCAGAGGATTACCAAACTGACTGAACAAACACAAAAGAGTCAAAAGCACTCACCTTATACACACGTAATGGAGTAAGAACTGCAAGGAAGTCATGGGAGATGACTCTCTAAACAGGGTGGCGCCCTAATGGAACAGTTACCTTGTTAAGGCTGAGTCTCCACCTGGAGATCGGCTTTTAAGAAAAGCTGCCAGGGCTGGCTATGGGCTTGGGGGAGAGGAGCCAATCAGAGACCAGGGTGCAGCTTAGGAGATGACTGAGACAGAAATACAACTAGAGAAAGAAAATTTGACAACTGTCCAAGAAGATCAGGAGAAATCAGTCAAGTCGGTGTGTGTTTCTCAACTGTTGTTATTCATGCTCCCTTCTGATAAACATAAACTCACTCTCTCTTATCACGTTACTTAAAATTTAAAAGGAAACCAAATCGCCTCACCAGCACCAAATCAAAGCAAGAGTGGTTTCAGAATTTGATTTTCCAAATGATAAAACACCCTCTTCCACTAGAGCTAAGTGAGAGTCACTCCCTGGGCTGGGTGATATCAAATGTCAACAAGGGCTGAATCCTCACAGAAGAGGGTTTCGATCCACGTGAGATCAGACAACCAGCAGTATTAGGAAGTCACCACCTAAGGGGACGAAAACAGACCACGGTACTAGCAAGAGTATACAACGGTTACCTGATTGAAGTTTTTGAAGGAGAACTCTTTGTAGATGGCATCTCTCTCTTGTAATTTCATCCATCCTGCTGCTTTAAGGTCAAGTATAGCTTGGCTCTTCTCCTCTGCTGTCAACAAGTGAGCATCTGCTGACTGTGAAAATAACACATTCAATATGTGAAATATAGAGGATTAGCTAAATTTACTCATAATTCTTTTCCTTATTAAAGATGTACAAAAAGTCGTAAAGGCAACAATTTCTAACCTTCTTTGGTTCCTTTGGTCTCAAAATACAAAGTTCTCAAGACACAAACAAAAACAAGGCTGGCTCTACACACATTAGCTGCCTGCACGGGGCAGTGTCTCACTGACGCTGGCCGCTGTCTCACGCTTCTCTGGTGTCTTACAGCCACAACTGAGGTTGGCCATGACCACTGGCCACCTGGCCGATACCCACTAACGATGGCCAGCATTCCAGTTCCTCAGCAACTGAAGGGGACATGCCTACCCAAGGAACCCTGCCAAGTCCACTGGCGGGACCAGGATTAGGACCCAGGGCTCTAAACTCCTGGTCTAGTGCTCTTCAGATGGTCCCACAAAACCTCGTAGCCTTCACGGCTTGCTGACGTGGGACTTAATTATCTGGGTTCACTATCCCTTTCAGGTATGATGAAAACTAACCCCAGAGAGGAAAAAAGCCGAATGCATATTTACATGGGATTTTGATAATAACTTCTGGGGGGTCCACACACCCTCTGGACTACAGGTAAAAAGCCTTTACTTCAGCCGAGTGCGTTTCCTCGGGGCCCCAGTAAGCCCTCCCCCCAGTCTGGCCAGAGCGCTGCCCAGTCCCAAGCACCGGTGTGCACTGTCCGCCTCGCTCCTGCTCCCACTGCCCAGGAAGTTCCCAAAGCCAGCGTGCTGCTCGTTTAGAGGCCCGCGCCTCCCGTACTACTTGTTTTTCAACTGAAAGAACTCCAAGCACCATGGCCAGAGAGAGAAGAGAAGGCACTCCAGTAAAAGTCAGAAGAATTTTGTTCTCATTCTGGCGTAAGCGCCATCCCAAACCTCCTGCCCTACCTGTAATCTGCAGGGCTACTGTAGGCTCAGGTGACAGTGGGACAGTCACCCAGAAAGAATAAGCTAACGTGAGAGTTCTCCATCCAAGGGCAACAGGGGGCTGAGCCGGATGCTCCACCATGAACCTGCAACTCATTCCCGTTTCAGAAATCCTAAAACCTTTATCACTGGCATTAATGTAAGAGGACAGGCAGGAGACTTTCTCTGAGACAACTTATTCTAGAAATTCCGGTCAAGATGGCGGGGTAGGTGAGCACTGTGTTCCCTTCCTCCCACAATCACATCAAAATTACAAGTTGCCCTGGCTGGTGTGGCTCAGTGGATTGAGCTCGGGCTTGCAAACCAAAGGGTTGATGGTTCGAGTCCTAGTCAGGGCACATGCCCGGGTTGTAGGCCAGGTCCCCAACAGGGGACATGTGAGACACAACCACGCGTTGCTATTTCTCTCCCTCTCTCCTTCCATTCCCCTCTCTATAAAAGTACAAGTAAATAAATTAAAAAAGAAAATTATAAGTAAATCACAGAACGACCAACCTAGAGAACCATCTGCAACCTAGCAAAACAGAAGCCCTGTAACTAAGGATATAGAGAAGCCACGATGAGACTGGTAAGAGAGGTGAAGACGCAAACCAAGCTGACCCCACACCCACGTGTGTCCGTTGAGAATCGGGAGGATATCTTGGCTATAGAGGCCCCCCGCTAAGAAGCAAGGGGTCCCAGCCTCACAGTGGCCTCCCCAGCCCCACAGCAGTGTCAAAAAGAGGACCCCCCACAAAACCTGGCTGTGAAAATCAGTGGGGATTCTGTCCACCTGGGTGGTGCTGAAGGCTGCTGGAGACCCAGGCCTCCTCTTAAAGGGCCCACGCACAGACTCACTTGCTCACAGGCCCTCACCCCAGGCTCCTGCAAAGGGACAGTGGCTTGGGAGGCACCAGAGACATACAGGAAGAAACTGAGTTGTGTGGCGTCGGGGTAAGGGCCAGAGGGACTGCCACCCTTGCCCAAGTTGAGCTCTCCTCCTGCACAGCTGAAGGGCACCATCATCACTTTGCCGAGCCCTCCCCCGACACAGCCAAAAGTGACTCTGTAGTGGCCTAGGGAACTGCACTCCCTCCCCGCAGACGACTGCCTGAGGCGGCACCACACCCACGTCAAGGACCAACGGAGGCTACTTCGCAGTGGCAGCCAGACCGTGCTGCAATTTTCTTAAAAAGCCTCCAAGGGCCCTAGCTGCTGCGGCTCTGTGGTTTGGCCACTGGCCTGCAAACCAAAGGTCGCTCGCTGGTTCAGTTCCCAGTGCGGGCACATGCCTGGGTTGCAGGCCAGGTCCTCAGGAGGAGAGGCAGCCAAGCAGTGTTTCTCTCCCGCCCCTTCTCCCTCTCTTCCCCTCTCTAAAAATAAATACATAAAATCTCAAAGAAAAAGTCCTCATAGGTCTGCAGGCCCCGGGGCTGGCTTCTGGCCTCAGTGTGCCCCTAGCTGAATGGACCCAAGTTTGGCACTGGTGCCATTCAGAATTCGCATTAACCTGGTGAACACCACTCTTCCCACCCTGCTGACTCCCTGAGACCCCACCTCACACAACTTGCATACTGCCCGAGGCTCCGTCAGTGACTGAGCAGCTGGCAGGGAGTGGCAAGCCTCACAGTGCCCTGTGCCTTTTGCTGAGCTGCCCTGGGTCTGGAGCCAGTGGAAGCCAGCCTCAGTCTGCAGTGTCCAGCACAGGCAGCTAACAACCACAGAGAGCTCTGTAGCCCCTGCCAGGTAGCCCAGGCCAGTCACAGGCAACTGCTGACCTGGGTCTGCACTGGAGCGCTTCCCAAGAGACCTTGGCAACAACACACCTGGTGGCCAGCTTCAGATCACAACAGACCACCACCCAGAAAGCTCCGCGAGTGTGGCACACCCAAAGGAAGATCTCAGCAGGCAAAAGAGCACCCTGGAGTGAATCCCACTCCATGGGGTCAGCCCCCAGCACAGCAGCTCATTCGCTGTGGTTGTGACCAATCCTCACAGCCAGGGCACCTGAGGGTCGATCCCACCCACTGGTGTGCCAACAGTGATCCAGACTCAACTATACTCTCTCTGCTGGTCCACGGTGCTTCGGGAGCCACAGGCTTCGGTGGAGACATGGCCAAGTCCAAGAACCACAGCACATACAATGAATCTCAAAAATGGTCCAGAAAGGGCATCGAGAAACTCCAATCACAAAACCACACATCTCTTCAGAGGGTAGACCTCAAGTTCCTGAGTAACACGTGCTTTGCCAAGAAGCTCAAGAAGGGCCTGAAGAAGATGCAGGCCCAAGAGACTGAGGTCATGAGCACACACGCTGCGGCTCTCAAGGCCCTTGTAAAGCCCAAGGAGGTCAGGCCCAAGATCGTGGAGGGCAGCAGCCACAAGCTCAATCACCTTGCCTACATCGCTCACCCCAAGCTTGGGAAACATGCTTATGCCCACATCACCAAGACAAGAGTAGACTTGAAAACAAAAGCTGTAATAAGAGACAAAGAAAGGCATTTCATAATGATACAAGATCAATCAAAGAAGAGGATTTAACCCTTGTTAACATTCATGCACCCAAAATAGGAGAACCTAAATATATAAAGCAAATATTGATGAACAAAAACAGAGAGCTCAACAGTAACACAGTCAGCTCTGGCTGGTGTAGCTCAGTGGATTGAGCGAGGGCCTGAGAACCAGAGGATCGCAGTTCAATTCCGAGTCAGGGCACATGCCTGGGTTACAGGCCAGTTCCCAGCAGGGTCACATGAGAGGCAACCACACATTGATGTTTCTCTCTCTCCCTCCTTCCCGTCCCCTCTAAAGATAAATAAATAAAATCTTTTAAAAAATTTCCAGGATAGAACACATATAGGTCACAAAACAAGTTTTAATGGTATAAAATTAGAAAAAGTTTCATGAAAAAACACACACATGGAAGCTAAACAATACGTTACTAAACAATGAATGGGTCAACAATGAGAACAAAGAAGAAATCGAAAGATACACTGAGACAAATGAAAATAAAAACACAACCACCCCAAATCTGTGGGACACAGTGAGAGCAGTTCAAAGAGGGAAATTCATAGCAATACAGGCCTGCCTCAGGGAACCAGAACAATCTCAAATAAACAACCTAAAGTTACACCTAAAGAACTAGAAAAAGAACAACAAAGCCCAAAGTGAGTAGAAGGAAGGAAATAATAAAGATGGAAATGGACTTAAATGAAATAATCTAAAAAAAAAAACAATAAATAGATCAATGAAACCAAGAGCTCGTTCTTTTAAAAGATAAACAAAATTGATAAACCTTTAACCAGACTCATCAAGAAAAAAAGAGAGGACTCAAATAAATAAAATCAGAAATAAAAGAAGAGAAGTGAAAACTGACACCAAAGAAATACAAAGGATTTTAAGAAAATACTATGAACAATCACATGGCAACAGATTGGACAACCTGGATGAAACAGACAAGTTCCTAGAAACATACAATATTCCAAGACCGAATCAAGGAGAAAAAGAAATTCTGAACAGACTTGATAACTGCCAATTAAATCAGTAATTAACACAGTCCCAATAAACAAAAGTCCTGGATCAGATGGTTTCACAGGTGAATTTTACCAAACATTCAAAGAAGAATTAACATCTGTCCTCAAATTATTCCAAAAAGTTCAAAAGGAGGGAAGGCTCCAAAGCTCATTTTACATGGACACCATTACCCTGATTCCAAAACCAAAGACATTTCAAAAAAGAAAATTATAGGCCAACATTCCTGAAGAACACAGATGCAAAAAATCCTCAACAATGCACATTAAAACCACAATGAGCTATCACCTCACACCTGTCAGAATGGCCACCATCAATAAATCAACAGGTGCAAACAAGGCTGTGGAGGAAAGGCACCCTCGTGCACTGCTGGTGGGATTGGTAGGACTACAAATTGGTGCAGCCACGGTAGAAAACCATTAAAAACAGAACTAACTAATGACCCTCAATTCAACTTCTGGATATATTCATCCAAAAAATCCAAAACACATTTGAAAAGGTATACACACCCCTATTTCACTGCAGCATTACTTTACAATAGCCAAGATATGGGAGCAACCAAAGTGCCCATCAATATACAATTAGATTAAGAAGCTGTGGTACATACCGTATTTTGCCATGTATAACGTGCACTTTTTTGCTCAAAACTTTTGAGGGAAAAATAAGGATGTGTATTATTTGTGGCTAGTACTAATTCAGTATCTATATAAATGGTTTTAATTCTTTTATTTATGCTTATGCATCAAAAGTGTAACTCTAGAAAGCAATGATGATATCTGTACGCAAAATAATACCCTGGAATATGATAATCAATTTTGTTTCTAAGTATAAAGAAATAAAAAATTGAATTAAAAACTAAAACAAAAGGGCTTTTTTTCCTGAAAGTTTGGGCCAAAAACATGAGTGCACATTATACATGGCAAAATATGGTACATACAATGGAATATTATTCAGCCATAAAAAATGAAATCTTACCATTCATGGCAGCATGGAAGAACCTCCGGGGGTATTTTACACTGAGTGAAACAAGTCAGACATGTAAAGGCAAATATCATATGATTTCACTTGTGTTGGCATCTAAAGAACAAAATGAGCAAGCAAACAAAACAGAAACAGCCTCATAGATAACAAAGAACAAACTGACGGCTACCAGATAGGAGGGGAGATGGGGGGCTGGGTGACAAGGTGAAGGGATTAAGTACAAATTGGTAGTTACAGAACAGTCACAGGGATGTAGGGTACAGCAAAGGGAATATGTAGTCAATAATGCTGTAATAACTATGAGCAGTGTCAAGTGAGTAGGTCACTGCGTAAATTATATTAATGTCTAACCACTATGCTGTACACCTGAAACTACTATAAAATTGAACATTGACTCTAACTGAAATATTTAAAAAATAATAAAAGGATAAAAAGATAAAAAAAAACAACAGTCTATGAAGAGGAAAAAATATGCTAATGAGCCAATTTTCTAGTTTCCCTTCTTTATTAGGTCAGATACCCTCACCTATAACAAAAAAGAAAAATGAAAATATCTCTAATTAGATAAAAACATTCAAAGGCTTGTTATAAAAAACATTTGCTACAAAGAACCAAAATCTGTTCATTCTTTAAAATGACAGTTTCTGAAACTTTTCACAAAGACCCACTACAAATAATAACATAAAATTCTTATTGAACACTTCAATATTTTAAGTCAACTCAGAGTATTTTGGAAAAGAAACACAACTATCTGCACTCACCCTGAGTGGCCGCAAAGAAAACGACTGAGCGCATTGTAGGTAACGCACCGGTCACCTGCAGTCAGTCTGCGGAACAAGCACAGCTCTCTCCTCTGCCCGCCACAACCCCTTCGTCTACACACAGAAGTGGCCCCCCCTGGAGACACGTCCCACGCAGAACCCTTTGTGGTGGGCTGAATTTTTTTCTGTAGGAATTAGGGGTAGGGACAGGGCAAAGAATAGCCTCTGAAGAGCATAAACTTGATTTAAGGCCTCGCTCTGTTACTTTCAGCTGTGGGACCCTGAACAAATCACTGAGCCTCTCCGCACACCAGCATCCTCGTGTCTACGTGGGAGACATTACAGTAGCGACCTGACGAGATTTTTGAAAGGCTTCCATTAAAGAGGTCTTGAATGCAAAGGCACCCAGTATAGAGCCTGGCACAGGGAAGCCCCTCAAATAGTATCTGTTTGCCCCTCAAATCGTATCTGTTTAGTCATTTCTCCCCAACACCCGAATTTTAATCACCAGCCCTGGATGAGAGTTCCACCTAGAGACGTGCCTAGGGGGAAGTAAGCACTCGGCTTCTGTTCTCACCTTACCGTCCCCAAAGCAAGTGGCTTATCTTCCTCCATCCCTGAGATATTTTTATATATTATCTTCCTCCATCCCTATCAAAAAACTGCAAACTGCCAAACGGACTCCAACAAGCAACTTAAAATAAAATCAGCTTAATGCAACACTTTCCCACTAGGTGGTGCTGCACGTTAAAACTTTCACTCGTTCATTTACCACCAAAACTTTAACTTCTCAGGCAGGATAGCTGACAGACGCCCCTCGTAAGCGGAAAGAATGCATGTGTCACCAAAAGCAAAACTTATTAACTTCTCAAAAATAACACCAAAACAAATTAGTTAACTTAACATTCGGTCACCCCATTTACAGCAAGCGCGCCGCGGCCAAGACAGTCCCTGCTCTCACCGAGTGTACAGCCTAGAGGACCGAACTGTACCTTCAGTCACTTCAAGTGACCTAAACATCAAATATTTTTACATCTACATATATTTTTTTTAATCGTCCCCGTTCGTTTTCTGTTGGAAATTGCATAGACTGCGAAAGGATTTTTAAGCCAAGGGAAACTGGAGGATGCTGTGGCCACGCTAGTCCCGGATCAGCTCGTCCGACCAGCGCGGCTGCCAAAGTCCCACTTCTGGCCGGGGCCCGGGCCTGGGCCTGGGCCTGGGCGGCTCGGGGCGGGTCCCTCCCATCCCTCGGCCAGCACCACGAAGCCTGGACCTCCCTCTGCCCTCGGCACCCACTCACCATGGCCGCGAGGCCGGGACCCCAACTGCGCAGCGCCACCAACCAGCCCCGCGTCAGTCCCCGCGCCCCCAGAGCCACCGCCATGGCGGTCCGCCGAGAGCTGCCCGGCGCACTGCCTGCCCGCCGCCCGCCACCCCGGCCCCGGTTCACAGGCAGCTCTCGGCGGCGGACCAGGCCGCCAGCACAGCCCGGCCCCACTGCGCAGGCCCAGGCGCGCCTGGCCCTGGAAGATCCCCGGAGCTTTGAGGCCAGGTCTGTGGGCAGCGAGGGGGCGCGGCCCTGCAGGCCCCCCGCAGGCCCCGCGCTCGCAGAGGCCGCTCTGCTCCGTTTTCTGCGTCTCTCTTGCCCGGGTGCTGAGGTGCCCCACTTATGCGTGGAAGGTGAGCGACCCCCGGGGCGGTTGGCTTTCCTTGGCGCTTAGGGTTGACACTCGTGGACCGTCTGATGGTGCTGGGCTCCCTCCAGGTTGGTGGGGCGAACAGTCCAGTCGGCAGGGGCATGTGGGGGGCAGGGGAAGGAAGAGATGAGCTGCGGGTGGGTGCCTGGGAACCACTCCAGTGTTCGTGGGGGGCCAGCGAACCTTCCTGATTCAGGTCAGGGGCTCGTATAGGTTACGGCGCCTTAGGTTCAAATTTGAGCTTGCTTTGTGCTTCCTTAGCTGCCAAGGCCCTGGGGCAAGTTGCTTCATCTATATTTGCTACATAATCTTTTTTTGCCTTTTGTCGTTTTGAGATGTAATTCACATTTAACAAAATTCACCCTTTAAAGTATGAAATTCAGTGGTTTTTAGTTAAGAAAACGTGGGGTTTTCTTAACTAAATAAGCAAATTTATAATATAAGCCGTTTTGCAGTGGATATAACAATACATTTTTTTTTAAGGATGAGGCCATGTGAGTTCAACTTAGTTACTGGCAGTTTTACTTCTCATATAGACTTGGAAAAAATAAAGCCTTTTGGCCTCAAAGTAGCCTAAAACTAAAACTTACAGCCCAAACCCACTTTTTGCCCACTTGAAAACTCAGGGAGGAATCTCACTGGAGACCCTAACCAAATGCCACCAGTCTCAAGGCATTTATCTCAGATGCCATAGTTTTTCTGCCTTAGGTGGATAGAGACTAGGGGTGGAATTAAAGGTTGTATTTCCAATATTTACCTTGAGTGTTTAAGATCATGAAAAATGCACACTTGCCCTGGCTGGTGTAGCTCAGTGCATTGATCGAGATTTGATTCCCAGTCAGGGCACATGTCTGGGTTGCAGGCCAGTTCCCAGCAGGGGACACATGAGAGGCAAACATACATTGGTATTTCTCTCCCTCCTTCCCTTCCCCTCTAAAGATAAATAAAATTTTTTTAATCTTAAAAAAATATTTTAAAAAAATGCACATACTTGCTTTTTAAAGTAAGAACTGAGCCCTGGCTGGTGTGTCTCAGTGGACTAAATGCTGACCTGTGACGCAAAGGGTCACGGTTCAATTCCCACTCAGGGCACAAGCCTGGGTTTTGGGCCAAGTCCCCAGTAGGGGGTGCAGGAGAGGCAAGCACACATTGATGTTTCTCTTCCTCATTAATAAATTTAAAGAAAAACAGTTTCTTAAAGAAAATAGGGAACTGGAAAATGAACGGATAGGTGTGAGGCCTGTGAAACTGTTACCGAACAAGAGGTCCGAGGGAGGGGCAATACAATATTTGGCCCACCTAGGGATGCTGAAAACTGCTATACAACAGGGGCCCCTCCCAAAAACAAAATACTAAAATCTACTGGGCTCTTCTGTCCACCGCCAATTGGAAAGACATCTCTTAAAGCCAGAGATTTGTGAAAAGGAAACAAAATGTTTATTTAATGCTATTCAGGCCTAATGCCACCACTAAAATAGCAAAGTCCTTTAGGGTATACACCTACACCCACACAGCGCTCCCTTCTCCCACTGTCCCAACTCCGGGTACCGTAAATCAGGAAAAGAGCACACGTCTGTGTTGCAGGCTGCTGGCACCGTCAGCTGTGTCACTGTGCAGGATCTCGAGTTAATCCAAAGTACTGTGGCACCCTCTCATGGTCCACTGGCAAGAGTCCTTTGTACCCAGTTCCAGTCAAAGTCTCTCCTGCTTTCTAGGCCATGCAGCCAAAGGGGGCACCCCAAAGCCTCGTGGGCCTCTTCTACCAAAGCTGCAGGAGTCCGCACTCCACCAAAAGCATGTGTCTTTCTTCTTCACCTGGCTGCAGGGATCTCCATTCTGGCAAAGCTGTGTGGCTTTTCCCTTTCACCTGGGAAAGAGGGGGTCCGCACCCTGCCAAAACCACGTGGCTCCCTCTTTCACCTCACCAACAGGGGGTCCTCACTCTGCTGAAACCGCGTGGCCTCTGCAATAAACTCTGGGTGTTCGGTTCAAATCTTTATCCCGATCACCAAGAACCTGGTTACGTGTGGCCACCTCCGACAGCTCTATTGAGATATAATTCACATACCATGTAACCTGCCTGTTTAAAGTGTACAATTCATCCCTGATTGGCATGGCTCAGTTGGTTGACTGTCCTTCACAAAGTGAAAAGTTGCAGGTTCAATTCCGGTCGGGACACAGGCCTGGCTTGCTGGCCAGGTCCCCAGTTGGGGGCGTATCGGAGACAACTGACAAATGTTTGTGTCCTTCTTTCTCCCTCCCTTCCCCTCTCTCTAAAAATAAGTAAAAGAAACCTTTAAAAATATAAAATGAAGTATACAATTCAGTGTTCTTTAGTACATTCATAGTGTTAAACAACCATCACAGTCTAATTTTAGAAAGTTTCATCTCCCCCTGAAAACCTTGTACCTACTGCCATTCCTCATTCCCTCCCTCTGCTTCCAGGCCTAGGAATCAGTCCTCTACTTTCTGTCTCCATAGATTTGTTGAACAGGCCCACACGGAGGGGTCCAGCTGGGGCACGACAGGGCAGGACGTGGGCTGTGGGGACACTGGCTAGCCATGAGGACCCACACACCCTTGGAGCTCGTCTTGCTCTGTTTCGATACAGAAACTTTATACCACTCAGTGCTTTCCCTAACACCAGCTCTTCCCCAGTCTCTACTCTTGAACCTCACCTCGCAAGGCCCAGTCCTGTGCCGTACTTTCCTCTGGGGGACCCCGTGTAGCTGGTCTCAGCTGAGTGTTAGAGCAAAGCCCTGGATCTGGTGGTCATCCTGGGGGTCTTTTTTCATCCCCCCACCCTAACTAGACAGAGCGGGGGCCCCATTACATGTCAAATGGCATGAAAATCCCTGTACCTCTAATAGAATAACTCCCACCCTGGGAATCTGCCCCCAAGAAAATGAGAATATTCCATAAATCCAGAAGACAGGTTAGGTAACCAACGCTGAACTACTCAAAGGCCTGTTACACAGCCATGGTTAGGAAGACTGTTAGCAACAATGAAATACTTGACCATTTAAGAAAAAAATGCTACATTATAGCTGTATTATCACTACATCTATGGGAAACACAAGAGATACCATGATCTCAGAGGCCGTGGCACAGAGGCGGGGCAGGGCACCATTCCACAATGCTTGGGTCTGGGGCTGTGTCCACCCACTGGAACCTGCATAACCAAGGGCAAGTGATCTGGGGCCTTGTTCTCTCTTCGGTGAGATGAGATTAAGTAGTAGTGCCAGTCTCATGGGGCTATCGTACAGACAAATGAAATGATACGTAAAGCACTCAAAATAGCCCTTTGCGCGCGCACACACACAGTAATATGCAAGGGTTGGTTATTGTAAGAGACAGAATTACTAGTTTTTTCCCTATACTTTAAGTACAGATACATATGAAAATTGAAATACCAGCTTCATCAACTTACTACGTGTGTAACCTCGGCAGGCCATTCAACCTCTTTGTACCTTGGTTTGCTCCTTCGTAAAGTGGAAATAGCAATGGGACTGTTCTGAGCCATGGAGCCCTTGTGCCGGTGACTGCCCCAGCCACAGCTGTCCACGAGACATGACGTTTTAAACTCTCATCCAATATAACTCAGAGAAGACTCATCTAAGGTTCTACTTCCATAGGATTTAGGGTGCCTTGTGAAATGAACTACTCTCTCAAACACTACAAACAATCAGTATAAAAGCTACTTATCATCATGTAATCAACTGTCATACCTGAATTTAAGATCTTTTAGAAACAGCTTTTCAAAAAGTTTGTATAAATTACACGTGTTTTCTACATGTCTTAAAACTACACTAGAATCAACTTGTGAGCAAGAACAGTGTTTTTATTTCTTTTGGCTCTCACTAAATGTAGCACAGTGCTAACATTTTAAGGTTCACTTAATGCGTTAGCACAGAACCGAAGCTAAAGAAGCTTCAGTATGATACCTTCTAGCATCTGCCTTACCCAGAAAACACTTCTTAAACCACTTCAGGTTCTGTCCATGAAGTTAGAGGTCCCAGGCAACAGGGTGTTTTCCCATCGGTTGCTACTTGTAAGGTCACACTTAGCAATTCTAGTTTCTCCTTCCCATCACAACACTCTCCCCTTAAAGTGTGAGAGAGCACCTGCAGATGAACAGAAAGCCCCACCTTCTTAGACATTCAGGAGTCAAGAGTTTTCTAAAACTCATCAGAAAGGCCTGTTTCTGCCTTTTATATAGTTAGCAGATTGCCCTACTCGTTATTCCACCAGAATACACCACATTTCAAACTGGATCATTCCCTTAAAATACTGGATTACCTGGCTGGGGCATGTGAGAGGCAACCAACCCATCGATGTTTCTCTCCCTCTCTTCCTCCCTCCCCTTCTGTCTAAAAAAAATAAATAAAATCTTTAAGAAAGAAAAATACTGGATTATGTTCTGGTAGTAAAAACAAGAATAGTGAAGTCCACTGGATGTTTTTGCATTGTTTTATTGGAATACTAGTTAAAACACCAGTTTATAATTTTTTACACATTTAACAGTTCAACGAATGCATGATTCTTTGACTGCAGTTGTCAGCTCTTCACTGGAGAGAGAAAATGTATGAAATCGCAGCATTCATTTCTGAAACAAAGGACTGAATGAAATGCCTCTTTCCAACGTCCTTCACTCCATCCCTACTCCGCGTGCTCCTGCTCCTGTCCTGGAATTAGCCGCCGGATGTTCTCAGTTCGAATGGTAGCATACATAATAAAACTAGTTAAAAAGAATAAGGAGAACACGAGCAACCAGTCCACATTCCTTGTCGTCGTGCTGGGAAGAGGGCCTACTTGGTCAGCTTGACTTACCACCACATTCTTCTTGGCTTCTATACCTGCAAGAGAAATCACTTGTTTCCAATCAGATAGAAAACGCACCCACCAAGGACCTTTCTGAAGTATTCTGCATGACTCACAAAATGACGTGCAGTCTTAACCGCCACTGCTGATCTGTCTGGGACGGGTCTCACTTGCCTGTCGGTGTAGTTTATGATTTGCCTTCCCCCCACCATGTCAAAGGAACAGGAATCCATGCAGCTGTTCTAACTAAAACACTAGAATTTCTGTGCGTTCCTAAGATGTTAAGAGCTGTCTTTCATTCTCTTTATTTTTATTTATTAATTTTTAGAGGGAGAGGAGGGAGGAGAGACAGAAACATCAATTTGTTGGTCCACTTATCTATGCATCATTTGTTGCCTCTCGTGCGTGTCCTCACCAGGGATCAAACCTGCAACCGGGATGCCGCTCCAACCACCGGGCTACCAACCAGGGCCTTTTGTTCTCTTTAGAGACCAACGCTCAACAAGTAACTAGTAAAGCTACTCTCAGGAAACTACAGAAGGTATAAATTCAAAATGCTTTTAATTTTTTCCTTTCTGTTTTTTGGTCTCTTTGTCCTTATATCAAAATGCTTTTAAATGAATTTACTGAAAGAAGTGTTAGCACAAGCAACAACTGGGATTGCTGATCACTGATTTCATTTGTATCCTATGTTTTCTTTAGAACATTGAACAAAATAGCTCCCCCTCTCCATATCCATCTGAATGGCAGGACCTGAAATAGCTAACCACCGGGTGCAAAGCTTTCTGTGAGGTCACTCAGCTTTGTTCTTTAGTGTCAGATATCAGTAATTACATGCAACTTAATATATATGGAAGGTATGTTATAATTCCTATTTATTTCCAGGGAATATACTTTGGGAAGAAGACGGATGCTCATTATTGAGGTGTTAATGCTTTTGAGGAGCAGACTTTTGTAATGAAGGAAATTTCTTCAATGTACGATGCTCAGACTTTTACAGAGTAAAGAAAATAAGGCCATCTGGTTTGGCAAATACTAAGGAGTTAAAATAGCATCTGCAAATGGATTAGTAAGTGGAATGCTATCCAGGAACAAAAAACATAGCACAACCCTTCACAATGGTGCAGATGGACCCACAGATATAATGGGGAGTGAAATAAGCCAGACAGCCCATACTTTGCCTCCATTGATATCAAGTTCAAAAACAGGCCACACGAGTCTGTGATGTCAGGAGTCAAGACGGTGGTTCCCGCTGGGAGGGCAGGAGCAGCAGTGCCTGAGGGGGCCGGTCGTGTTCTCTTTCAGGATCTGAGTGCTGGTTACCCAAGGTGTTCACTCTGTGACAGTTCATCACCCAGTTCACTATTGACTGATGCATATTCTTGTGTAAATATGATACTTGAATGAAAAATAGATTTAAAAAGGTATCTACATTCCCAGTCAGGGCACATGCCTGGGTTGCAGGCCAAGTCCCCACTTGGGGGCACACAAGAGACAACCACACATTGATGTTTCTCTCCTTCCCTTCCTCTCTCTAAAGATAAATAAAAATAAAATCTTTTAAAAATTTAAAAATAAGTAAAAACAAAAAGGTATCTACAGGTGTATGGTATGCAAATTGTCTGAATAAAGCTGTCCATTTTTTAAAGGTGTCTTGGATCATGAAAATCACCTATTCATGGCAGGCTGGTTGGGAGACATTCAGCAGGCCCACGACAGTTACTAGACGAGGAGTCTCGCTCCTCACCGCGATCTTGAACCCTTCGCTTAAGGGTGACAGCGGACTGGAGCCCACAGAAGGCACATCCCCCAGCAGTAAAATGTCTTCGTCTACAGCACATTACTTCTACCTACCTGTCTGGTTAAAAATGAAGATTTTCAGCGTCTCCAGTGTTCGGTCTGTGTGATTAAATCTAGCCATCGGTTTAGCTCCTTGAAATAACAAGATGTTAGGAACAGCTACCGTGCCAAACCTGGTTGAAAGGCTATGAGAGAAAGTCAGAAAACCTGAATTAACAGTGGGCATTCTCGCGCCATGACCGTATGAGAATCGATGGCAATAACTGAGACAGGATCTGATACTGCACAGAGGTTTCTGGCCTCCTTCCTCATGGGTCACAGTTGGGGGCATAAGTTCCTAACTTCCAGATCAAAAAATTCTAACTCATGGGCAAAGCACACTGGGTCAATTTACTTGACAGAAGACATTTCAAACTCTCCAGAATGCCCACCTCCACCCCTCACAAAAGATTCAACTTACAGTAAACAATTAGTAAGTTGGCAGTAAGGAATCTATGACAAACACACCAGGAGGTTCACAACTGGGGCGGATGACTGAGAGGTAATGTGACCTGCGTGGCTCCGCTCCACCTTTTTGTAACGGCAGCGTCCAAGCTTGGAGTCAGAACCCTCTGGATCAGCCTCAATTCTGCCTCTGGACCAGGTAATCTGTGTAACCTGCAGATCACCTTTCCTCTTTAAGCCTCAGCTGCTCCCATTATAAAATGGTGATGTTGGACAATCAGGGTTTTTTCTTTCATAGACATGCTGTAACTTAAATATTAACAGGAGACAAACTTGCATCCCACACTGTCCACGTAAGAACAAGTACCCTGTATTCTCCATAATTAAGGCACCGTACCAGACTTGGAGAAGGACGCGTGCAGATGGAGGAACAAAGCAGGTGATAAAAGCCTGCAGGGAACGGGGATGTAGTGGGGGTCACAGTACCAGACCCCAAACCAAAGAGTTCTGGGTGAGTGATGGAGCTACCCTGCCAGCCTGGAGAAAGTGAAGGGCCCAGTCAAAGCTGGACACTGGGCTGAACCATCCTTCCCATCAATCCCATCAATCTTAGGCCAGGCTACTTAGATCTACTTCCCTGATGCCCTGGTGAAAATGACTAATTTGTCGGGCAGTTTCCTTCTTCATGAGCAGTTTCAGGTGAACACAGGCAGTCACCCACACCAAAAATCCCCAGAGCACAGGTCATCAAGTCTTACTCCATGTTTACCACCTACCTGACCCTCACCCGACCTCCTGCCTTCACTCACACACAGCGCTCTGCTGGGAGGGCCACACACCGCTATTAGCAGAGGCAGAGGCCGAGGGGCGATGTGCCGCCTCTCACCAGAGTCCTCAGGAACTTACCTTACTGAGCACTTAAAAAAGACAAGAGTCCACTCAACAATATAAAAGAAATATAAAGTGGGTAAACGTCACTTTAAAGGGCTAAATTAATTCACTGAACTAATTTATTGAATGTCTAGTAAGGAATATTCATGCAAAAATTAATGTAAGAAAGGAAAAGGAAGAGAAGAAAAAAAGAAAAAGAAATCGTAAATAAACACTGAACAGGGTTGCCGAGAGTTGGGCTGTCAGGGCTGGGGACCTAAACTGCAGACGAAAGTTGCAAAGGAAGATCCTACTTGTGATCTGATTCTGCCACTTGGTTCTGGCCGAGACACTAGAAAGTTCTCGGGCCCCTCCCCTGGCATCAGGCAGAGCCACCACACAGAAACAGTCCTCCCTCCCCAAAAGGGGCCTCCAGAAAGGCAGCCATTAGCTTCCTCAGTCGGCTGACACCCCTCACCCCTCACCCACACTTGCCTTCCCTCTGCTCACGCCACCTCCTCTCCTTACTGATCACCACCTCCAAGTAACTGCCACTGTCAGCCCAGCGGGTAAGTCAGAGACCGACACAGGGAAGATACCTGCTATGCTGAGATGCATCCAGGGCCAAAAAATGAAGAGCTGGAAATGCCCGGGGCAGAGAGTTAAAATGAGGAGCCAAACTGGCAGAAAATCGGCACCAAGGGGTGTAAAACAGTACTAGCGTACAGTCACTGCCGTTGGGGTCTAGAAAATCCATAAGGTCCTGCAGTAAAAGAAACAAGAGTTAAAGTCAGCGGTCAATGTACCTTTTCTGGAAGGACAGCCAGGAAACAGGAAACACTGCTGCCTCCGGGGAAAGGAGTGGGAGCGGGCTGGGAGGGGGCCTGTGGTGTGCTCCTTAAAACCTGCATTCTGAACCATTGCATCCCCATCAATCAGCAGAAAAGTACTATCAAATGACAAGTTACAAACTTTCCTCTAGGCTTTCTTAGTATTACTGTAGAGCCATTTTAATACTTCTCATAATATATCCATTCAAATACTAAGGTACTCACAGGGTACAGGCCACCGTCCCAGCCCTTGAGTTCTGCAGTTCACACAATCCAATGGTATTATGAAAAGCACCGTGATCTCAGGCCCGAATGATCATCTCAGTACACCCAAGTCTATACTAAGCAATTGGATCAATGTATTTGGCCAAAGGTTAGTTCAAGTCAAAAGTGCACCATCCCCACCCTGGCTGGTGTGGCTCAGTGGATTGAGTGCTGGCCTGGGAACCAAAAGGTCTCCAGTTCGATCCCCAGTCAGGGTGTGTGCCTGGACTGCAGCCAGGCCCCCAGTTGGAGGCCAGCAAGAGCCAACTGATTGATGTTTCTCTCACACACTGAGGTTTCTCTCCCTTCCTTCCCTCCTTTCCCCCTCTCTAAAAATAAATTTAAAAACCTTTCATCCACCATGTTACAGTGCTCTCTCCTTCGTGCCACTCCTGGCCATGTGTGAGACACCTGTCCCACCTGTGACAAGTCACGGTGCTGACCAGGCCCTGAGGGCAGGGTGTGAGGCCAGGGCTGACCGTGCTCTTAGAGGAGCTACGCATGCTCCACACGCCTTACGTGTCCTCCTGTAGAAGAAGCAGTCACAGCCTCCAGAGCGCGGACCTCCCCGTGTTCGTGCTGCTGCCTCACAGAACGATCTAACGGAAAACTGTCAGTCCTCCTCACCTGCGTATTCTCTGGGGAGTCACGGTCTACCCAACTAGGAACACATGGCTTGGTTTGGGACAACTGTCAAGGAAGTCACCCAAGAATAAACACTGGACTCACAATCCACATTTTTTAAGTGGCTTCTGTTATGATTCTGAAGTCCACTGGGATTTCTGTCATGGGGCCTGGTGGTGGGACAACCCCAAAAAGCATAACAGACACTAGTTACTTCTCCCCCTTTTCCTACAAAGATCGCAGAGAGCCAAGTCCATCCTCCCTGATTCAGCCACTGACCACTGTCCTACTTACAACATGATCAAGATTACCACCCCCATTTGAAAGCTGATCAAGAATCTCGAATCATGATATCGACGTGCTGAAAAGGAGAAGAGCACTAAATCATTTTTTCCTACCTGTGACGTATTTAAAATTTTCAGGGTGAAATTTTCGATGCCAGTGACGTTCCTCTCCTCGCAGTTGACCTTGGGGGATTTCTGGCTGTCCGTGTGATTGGAGTCCTCCGCAGGGGCTGCGTCGGCCCCGGCTACTTCCGGCTCCGGGTAATCCTCCTCATCCCTGTCCGGGAAGTTGGCTCCGGCGCTATCCAGAGAAAAGAGGTGCTCCCGGAGGCTGCACCGAGAGTCCTCGTTCCCTCCGGCCCTGCAGGTGCCATCGCTGGGCTCCGAGCTCCGTTTGCCCTTGGCTTCCCCAGGAACCACAGACAGCATCGCCGCGCTGTCGCCTTCCGCGTCCAGCCCCAGCACTGCCCCGGCCTCTTCTGCTGATATGTCTGGGCCCATCAGGCCATGCGAAGGCTCCTCTTCGCTCATGTACACAGCCCCCACATGGAGCGGGGGGGCCTGCTGCTCCTCTGACCATAAGTCACCGTGTTTCTTCTCTGCAACCAAAACGTGCCAGCATGTTCACAGTCATATTCAGCTTCCAAACACATAAACCCAAAAGATTTACAGTTCTCCTCAAATATGACATTTTCCCTACAGAGAAAAAAGCTATCCTTCCCATTAAACTACCAGAGGGCCCCGCACCATTCTCCAGGCCCTGAAGAAAGTCTCAAGGAAGTACTAGATTAATGAATGCCAAATAAATATGGGACAAGCCCTGAGCGGGTAGCTCAGTGGTCAGAGCACCGCCCTGACACACCAAGGCTGCAGACTCTCTCTCTGGCCAGGTCCCCAGTTAGGGGCATGTGAGAGGCAACCAATCAGTGTTTGCCTTGCACATGTTTCTCTCCCTCTCCTTCTCCCTCCCTCCCGCTCTAAAAATAAATAAAAATTTAGACTTCCAGCCAAGATGGAGGCGTAGGCAGACACACTGTGTCTCCTCACACAACCAAAAGAAGGACAACAACAAATTTAAAAGCAAAAAACAACCAAAACAGACAGAAAATCGAATTGTATGAAAGTCCAACAACCAAGGAGTTAAAGAAGAAACATCCATCCGGACCGATTGGAGGGGCGGACACGGGCAGCTGGGCAGAGAGGACTTGTGGCAAGGCAGTGGCTGGCGGACCCAGCAAGGTGGCCGACTGCAGAGCGGGTGGTCCCACATTCACATGCAGATAAACCGGGAGGAACAACTGGGAAGTGAGACAGACCACACAACCCAGGGTTTCAGCAGGGAAATAAAGCCTCAAACCACTGATTGAAAACACCTGTGGGGGTTGCCACAGCAGCGGGAGAAACTCCCAGCCTCACAGGAGAGTTCACTGGGGAGATGCACAGGGTCCTAGAATCCACACAAACCTACCCACACAGGAATCAGCATTAGAAGGGCCCAGTTTTCTTGTGGGTAGAGGAGGAAGTGACTGAAAACTGACAGAGAACAGAGCAATGACACTGTTCCCTCTGGACCCCTCCCCCATGTACAGCGTCATAAAGCAGTGATGTAGGTTGTCCCACTCTGAAGAATACCTAAAGCTCCACCCCTTACTACGTAAGGTGCAAAAAAATGGCCCAAATGAAAGAACAGATCAAAGCTCCAGAAAAAAATACAACCAAATGACAAAGAGATAGCCAACCTATCAGATGCACAGTTCAAAACACTGGAGATCAGGATGCTCCAGGAACTCACTGGGTACTTCAACAGCATAAAAAACACCCAGGCAGCAATGAAGGTTGCATTATGTGAAATAAAGAAAAATCTACAGGAAACCAACAGTGACAGGAAGGAAACCAGGACTCAGATCAACAGTCTGGAGCAGAAGGAAGAAAGAAACATTCAACCAAAACAGAATGAAGAAACAAGAATTCAAAAAAATGAAGACTTAGGAACCTCCAGGACATCTTTAAACATTCCAACATCTGAATCATAGGATTGCCAAAAGGAGAAGAGGAAGAGCAACAAATTGAAAACTTATGTGAACAAATAATGAAGGAAAAATTCCCCAATCTGACAAAGGAAATAGACTTTCAGGAAGTCCAGGAAGCTCAGAGTCTCAAAGAAGTTGGATCCAAGGAGGAACACACCAAGGCACATCATCATTACCTTAGCCAAGAAAAAGATAAGGAGAGAATCTTCAAAGCAGCAAGAGAAAAGGAGACAGTTACCTACAAAGGAGTTCCCATTAGACTGTCAGCTGATTTCTCAAAAGAGACCTTACAGGCAAGAAGGGGCTGGTAGAAAGTCTTCCAAGTCATGAAAGGCAAGGATCCACATCCAAGATTGCTCTATTCATCAAAGCTATCATTTATAATAGAAGGGTGGATAAAGTGCTTCCCAGATAAAGTCAAGTTAAAGGGTTCATCATCACCAAACCCATATTATATAGAATGTTAAAGGGACTTATCTAAGAAAAAAATATGAACAGTAAAATGACAACAAACTCACAGCTATTAACAACTGAACCTATGGAAAAAAAAAAACAAACCTCAGCAAACAAGTAAAATAGGAACAGAACCACAGAAATGAAGATCACCTGGAGGTTTATCAGTGGGGGAGTAAGAGGCAAAGGGAGGGGGAAAAGGTACAGAGAATAGGTAGCATGGTAGGTACTTAGAGAATGGTAGGTAGAAAATAGACAGGGGGAGGTTAAGAATAGTATATATAGGAAATGTAGAAGCCAAAGAACTTATATGTATGACCCATGGACATGAACTAAAAAGGGGGAATGTGGGTGGGAGAGGATGTATAGGGTAGAAGGGAATAAAGGGGGGGAAATGGGACAACTGTAATAGCATAATCAATAAAATGTATTTTAAAATAAATAGCCCTGGCTGGTATAGCTCAGTGGATTGAGCGCAGGTCTGCGAACCAGAGGATCACGGTTCAATTCCCAGTCAGGGCACATGCCTGGGTTGCAAGCCAGTTCCCTGCAGGCCAGTTCCCAGCAGGGGACGCACTAGAGGCAACCACACATTGATGTTTCTCTCCCTCTCTCGTTCCCCTCTAAAGATAAATAAATAAATAAATAAATATATATATATATATATATATATATATATATATATTTATTTAAAAAATAAAATAATTAAAATTTTTTAAAATAATTTTTAAGTCAAAAATAAATAAGTGGACAAATACATACCTTCAAGCAAAACCCACCACTTGCCATGTGAATTATAAACAAAAGCACTTCAGTACAGATATTCAATTGTGAAAATATAATACAAACATTTTAACATTTCGTTTGATGAGACTATCCAAGAAAATGATGATGGCTCTATAGAACACTATTATGGCAAAGCATTGTTGCACACATCATAACAGTTCTGTGAGATGGACGGGACAAAGGCCATCAGCCCCACTGAACAGATGACCAAGCAAAGGGGTACGGAGAGGTACAGCACAGTGCCCAGTGCCCGATGGCACACAGCTAGCCAGCGGTGGAGCCGGGTGCAGGAGCGGCAGCAAGGAGAAAAAGAAACCCTCCTCCCGCTCTGGAGCCATGAGCTGGGGCCCAGGTAACATGCGCGGACAGGGAGAGAGTCCCGGGCAGGCCTGTGTGTCCGTTTGGCAACCGCTCGCCTCCACAACAAAGACTCCTACCCTCCAACCCTCATTGACTCAACAGCTACCAGACCCTGTGCCAGACACTGACTAGAGGGAACCAAGGAGCCCCGCTACACTCACACGGGCTCGCCTTGTGGCTGGGGAACCACCAGCTGGGGAATGAGCTCTGCCAAGCCACCAGCATGTCGCCAGATTATGAATGACCAACTAGCCTCAGAGTTGGGCAGGGGTCTGGGAGCCTCCTAAGGTATGCACGTTCGTACAAGGTCTTAAAGAATATTCCCATAGAGATTGGCAGGTTCATTCAGTGATTCAAAAACATCCCACTTCTGGCTAAAATGGAGTAACAGGGATCAGATTTACCTTTTCTCCTAAAGTAACCCAAAAAACAGTCAAATGTGTGAAACAACAGTTTCAGAAGACTAGTCCTCAGGAAAAAAGGACAGAGATCCCAATAAACAGTCAACCAAATGAGACGAGCCCTGCCACTGAAACAGCTTCCTGCCCCCCGAGGGAGTCCCCACCACGGCGTGGGGGAGGGGACGCACACACAGAGCCCGGTGGACTCACTGAGGTGAGGGAATGGAGCCGAGGGTCGGAGACCGTGGAAGCTCCGGTTTGCAGGAGAGAATTCTGAGGATGGAGGGGCTGCAGAGCACAGACTCCGGAGATCTGCCGGGGGTCCCCGGGAGTGGTCAGCGCATGCGTCTAAACTCTCCAAAGCCAGGGAAGAACCACCCAAAAGGATTAGAGACGACAGTACCCAACATTCACACAGACCTGCAAATAGTACCTGTACCCAGCAGCCGGACCGAAAAATCTCCTATTTCATGGGGCACTGGGCAGAGTACACAGAGGACTCGCCTTGGTAGTGGAGCACAAGTAACCCTGGAGTAAGTACAGCTCTGCTCCCATTAACAAACTTTAAAAGCATGGATCGAATTGTTTTCAGCAGTTTTTCAGAGGTTGACCTTAAATGTACTGCAGAACAAGACTCAAGAACATTTATAGGGATACTAAAATATCCATCAAGATAAAATTCGTCTCTAGCATCCAACCAATGATTTTCAGGCAAACAATGAAGCAGGAAAATGACCCAGAATGACGTGAATAATTAACCAACTGAAAGTGACCCAGAACTTGCACCAGTATCAGATTAGACAAGCATCCTGACAAGTGTGGCTCAATGTCATTCCACAAAGCAAAAGGTCACCAGTTCAATTCCTGGTCAGGACACATGCCTGGGTTGCAGGTTTGGTCCCTGGTTGGGGCATGCAAGGGGCACAACTGATTGATGTTTCTCCCTCACACCAATGATTCTTTCCCTCTCTCTCTCTCCCTCCCTTCCTCTCTCTCTAAAAACAAATACAATCTTAAAAAAATTATTGGACAAAGATATTAAAGCCATAATTATAACTATGTAACAGGAGTTCAAAAAATTCAGCAAATATAGACGTAAGATTTAAAAAAAACAAATTATACTTCTAGTAATGACAACTACAATTGTCTCAAATGAAAACTGCAGTGGATGGGATTAATTGCAGATGAAACATCACATTAGAAAAGGGTAGTGAATGTGAAGGCATAGCAACAGAACCAATCCAAACATGCAATGGGAAAGTGTCCCAGAAAAAAAAATTAAGAGCATCAGTGAACCGTGTGACAATTTCAAGTGGTCTAATGTACAGATAATTGGGAGTATCTGAAAGAGAATAAAAGGTGGGGGTAGGGGAGGGACAGAAAAAGTATCTGAAAGAATAACTATAAAGTACTAGAAAGAAAATAAGTACAAAAGGAAAAAACTACAAACCTACAATTCTATGCCCAGCACAAATCCCTTTCAAAAAACAAAGGCAAATAAACACATACATACAGAAGATGAAAGAACTCATCACCAGCAGATCTCATGATGAGAATTTTAAAGGAAGT